TCTCTCTCTCTCTCTCCTGTATTTAGGACAGGGTCTACAGGGTCCACATGGTCTCACTATGTAGATCGGACTCGTACTTGTTTTCAGTCCCCCGAGTGCTGAGTTCACAGGCACACCACCATGCCCAGTCTCAATTGCTGCCTCCACACGCCCTGCAGACAGGGTTGGCACAGCGTGTCTGGGATCGAACTCCTGCCACTGTGCTCTGCCTAAGCAGGTGCTTTAGTCTGCTGAGCTATCAGGCCAGCCCTCCCTGTTTCTTTAGTGATTGAAAAGGGACAGAGCAAGAATGATTCAGGAGTTACCAGTGAATTGGATTCAGTTATAAATATTCTGCAGGTAGCAATTGATTTAGACATGAGTCAGGCACCGTTCCAGTTGAAAGGGCAGATTATGTTTCTATGTTTAGTGAGTTTGTGTTCGAGCACACAAATAAAGTGACTTGGTAATTTTACTTCAGGAGAAAAAATAAAGCTGGTTATTGGAAATAAGAAACTATGGAAGCGATGGGGTGTTATTTCATACATGACTTTTATGGGAAGGCCTTCGGAGGACAGGCGTTCTCACTGTTGAGACTGCTGCCACATTATTTAAGAAAAAAACACTGTGTGGAAAGGTCCATGAAATGAGACCGTAGGAATAGGAGCTTTGGACCTGTGGAGATGGGATGATCAAAACAGTGCAGCAAGCTACAGAGAACGGGGGAGGAGAGCAGAAGGCTGGGCAAGGTTGAACATTATATGGACAGCCATATTACTGGCTTCATTCTTAAAACTGGGTAATACAATGAAAGTTTAAAGCAGGAGAAAATATTGGAAATAGATTTACTTTTTAAGTAATCAATCTGGACAGTTCAAATTTTCTGTAAAAAAAATAATAAAAAACCATGATCATTTAAGAGTGTATTGCAATAGTCAAAGAAATGTTGAAAGACACATACTATATAGTTGAAATTTGTAGCTATAGGGCTGGCAAGATAGCTCAGCGGACTAAGCACTTGATTTGGCAAGTGCAGGGACCTCGATTTGATCTCCAGTCCCTCACGATGTGCTTGCCCCACCCTTGGGCACCCTGAGCTGCTGACTGAGTCCAGGCGTGGTGGCGCATACTGTAATCCCAGCGCTGTGGAGGCCGAGACAGGAGGACCACTAGGAGTACAAGCTGCAGAGTGAGACCCTGTACCAAATACATAAAAAAATTTTAAAAATATTGTAGCTATCAGGCTCATGCAGTATACAGACGCATGCATTGTGGAAAAAAATCATTAATAAGATCATATCTCTGAAAAAGCCAAAGTTGTATATGATTATAAGAATTAAATTTGCTATATGTTGATGTCTGAATTTTTCTATCAGTGTGGTGTACACAATATATTTTTAAAAATTAAATATAACTAGAGCATGAATTATATTAAAAATAAATCTTCCAACAGATCTTTAGGAAAAATTCATAACCAACTCAGGGAAATAAGCAACATAACTAACAAGTGAAAAAAGGCAAAAAAAAAAATCAGTTTTGAATATAAGAGTTGAAATTGTGTTATTCTGGCAATTATTAACTACAGCTAAATAATCCAGAACACAGAATTGCAGAAAACATTTGTGTCTCAAATATTTCTGAAGAGCATCAATTCAGACTGTCCGAGTGACAGTTACGAGAACAGCCAAAGGTAGAGAAAATCGGTAAGGTGGCACAGCAAAGACTGTAGCCAATAAAAGGAGGTACTGATATGAAAATGTACAAATTTAAAAAGTTGTTTTCCATTTAGAAAACTTTTTGAGGGAAGGCAAAGAAAGAGGAGAAAGGGGGCTGGTGAGATAACTCAGTGGAATAAGCGCTTCCCTGGCAAGCGCAAGGGCCTGAGCTCAATCCCCAATAAAA